TCCTCTATGGGAGGGGCAAAACCGACAAAACTGATGATGACCTTCAATAACAAACACGTTAATTTTCAAGGCCGTGCGGCGGGCAATCGGTTTGGGCAGTTGGTCTCATATTGTAGTGTGCACTGAAGCCGCCAGAAACTGAACCGAACCGAGTCGATCTTCCAGGGGGCATCGCTTTTTAAACAGTTTGGAATGTTGTTTGTTTTTTCCGCCAATGTTTCCAGCGCCATCAAGCTGATCAGCCAGGTGCAAGTGGGCGTGGCAGAGGAGAAGCAGTCGTCGGGGGATGAGTTCAAGGACAGCGGAGACGACAAATCTTCCGATGGTGACGACCTGGGTGACGGCGATCTAGAGGAAGTGGAGTCGGAGGGAGACCTAGATGAGGGTGACGAGGGGGAGAAATCCGATGATCAGACGATGTCGTCTAGAAGATCGAGTGAGTGTCACGCAGGCTGCGTTAATAGTGAAAATAAATGTGATGTGTCGTGGTGAAATCAGGCGCTCTGCGAAATTGTGAAATTAAAAAAAATCCACATTTTTCTGCCCGTCAGGCAATTCTCCAAAAATTTTTTTGTCTTAGGCTCAACGCCTTGAATGTCAACACATTACTGCATGGATTGTTCTGGAAAATGTCCTTATTTCTCCTCCTTTTTTGTTTGTTATTCTGTTGTAGCAGCTAGAATCTTTGGCACTTGCGTGACCTAATCGTGTCCCAAGTACCGTAGAACTCCTACTTAAACAAAAACAAACATTCTTCGTCACTTATATGACCTACTTGTGTTGCAAGTGCCGTAAAACTAAGACAAAAATAATCTTTGGCACTTATATGACCTTGTTGGGTTGCTAGTACCGTAAAACTGAGACAAAAATAATCTTTGGCACTTATATGGCCTTGTTGGGTTGCTAGTGCCATAAAACTGAGACAAAAACAATCTTTGGCACTTATATGACCTAATTGGGTTGCAAGTGCCGTAAGACTCTTCATAAAACAAAAACAACCAATCTTCAGCACTTGTATGACCTTCTTGTGTTGCAAGTGCCGTTAAACTAACAAAAGCAAAAACTACTTTCAGCCTTTATATTAGACCTAATTTGGGTTGCAAGTGCCGTAAAACTCCTATGAAAATAAAGATAATTGTTTCTGGTGACAATGTGTTCAGGCTGGCTGAGGAAGCAGAGGAGGTGGCGCATGTTCCAGTACGGGGAGATGTTGTGGAAGACCAAGAGACGCCTGGCGCTGCTGCGCAACTTTTACCTGGACATGGACGGCAGAGATGACGTGTTCCCCGAGCTGAGGCCAGATGTAGGTCACTGGGGGAGGCCTCTGTCGCACTGGTGAGT